CCGTTCAAGCCGAAAATCAACACGATAGCGAGCTACCATCCAGTCCCAGGGGGTATTTTTTGTTATTTTGTTGTTGTTTTTATTGTTTATTGTTGTTTATTATTGTTATTATTTATTATTATTTATTGTTATTATTGTTTTTATTGTGATTTATTATTATTTGTTGTTGTTATTGTTTAAAATTGTAGGTATATTCCCGCCCCCGCAAGCCGCAGCGCATCTGATGCAGCTGCTGCCGCCGCCGTGGTGTTTTAATGGGCCGTTCGTATCGATTGATTTACTGATGGAAAGCCTGCTGAAATTTGGGCAGACTGCACGTGGGTTTTGTTATTATTTATTGTTATTTTTATTATTATTATTATTATTATTATTATTATATATTGTTATTGTTTTTTGTTTGTTTGTTTATTTGTTTATGTGATAATGGATATAAATATTTAGCTCCAACAGTGGATCCAACTCAAAAATTAGAAAATGGTACGATGTTTGGAAAGCATCGAATAGAGGATATTAAGAAGGATTTCTATCAGCTCGTAGCGACGACGACTGACCCGAATGTGGTGAGTTTGCTTTATTTTGTGTTGTTTTTTATTGTTTTTTATTATTTATTATTATATTTTTATTATTTATTATATTTGTTATTATTATTTTTATTAGTTGTCATTGTATTTGTTGTTATTATTGTTTTATTTATCGTGTTTATGTGAATAAATTTAGATTATATAATGATAAGTATGTGTAATATGTATAATAATAATATATAATAATAGATATATGTAATATTTTTATGTATAATAATAATGTATATATAATAAATATTAAAGGTGTTGGCAACAAGCGAATACGACAAGCAGAAGGCATCGATTCAGAATCGGAAAAGACGAGCGGCAGGAGCGGATTCGGATAGTGACGAGGATATGCCGAGGAATAGCCCGGGATTGAGGGATATATACAAGAGGAGGATGAATGCGAAGACGCATGAGTGACTTTTAGTGTATTTTGTTATTGTTTTATTGTTTATTATTATTATTTATTATTATTATTTATTATTATTATTATTATTAT